ACAGATTGTTCCAGCTCAGGTCTGCACATCTGCTGCAGACGGGCACTGGTCAGGTGTGCTATGATGAGGCAGAGATGGCGGGCGGTGAGACATAAGGTCGGACTAGACGGTCTGGAATCCACACAGGTGAGTCTGCGTCCTGTGGAAATATACAAGCATATCCTCTCCCCAGGGTTAAAAGTACATCAGGTCCCTTCCAGGCTCCTGTAAGCAAGTCTCTCCATTTGACGAGGGCTTTAGGTTTAGTTAGATCAGGGTTCCAATGCCTGTACATCGGGGAATTTCCCTCAGAATCTACATTTAGTATATTAATTACAAATAGAGTATGTTGTAGGACATGATGAGGAGAGGAATATTTAAACTCATTTTCTTGTAATATTTTGTAACAAGAGTAAATCAAACACCGCTGGGGCTATATAATAGAACTCCCATTTGAGATAAGATATCTCTTCCCCATAATGTAAAGGGGATAGTTGTAATTACATACGGACAGAATGTTCCTGAATGTTGATCTTCATCAGTCCAAGTTAGAATCTGAGAACTCTTTTTTACATTAGATGCCTTGCCTAGTCCTACTAGGGAAGTGGAGGTGGTGTGCGTGGGCCATGAAGAGGGCCAATCCTTCTCTGCTATGCAGGAAACATCTGCTCCTGTATCCAATAGACCTTCAATTGGTTTTCCCTGAATTTGTAAAATTTTTGTAGGTCTAGTAGCATGGATTTCTTGTATCCAAAATGCTGCATCACTAGATCCAAAGCCTCCGGCCCCTCTAGCTTCCTGGGTAACAGCTGTCCCTATTTTATGTATTGGTAACAGGATTAATTGGGCAATTCTCTGGTTGGGCTGAATCTGTATAGTTGTGGTGGGTGGGGAAAGTAAAATCTGTATTTCTCCTGTGTAGTCTGCATCAACAACTCCTGGGATGACTAAGATCCCCTGTAACGAGGTGGAGCTCCGTCCTAATATTAAACCTACGGTTCCCTCAGGCAGCGGCCCAGACACTCCTGTAGGAATGGCTGCTACTGGCGAGTCTGGGGTTAGTACTGCATGGGTGGTTGAGTGGAGGTCCAATCCTGCACTGCCTGGGGTTGCCCTGAAGAGGTCACTGACTGATCGAAATTTGCAAAGGGGTTGAAGGTTGATGCCCCTATTATTGCAGGGGCCTGGGGCTGGCCCCTTCTCAAGTTTCCCGATTGAGGTGATGGGATATAACCTCCTTGGGAGCTATTTGTAGAGTTTAAAGGCCGACCATTTTTATGGTATTTTGATCTACATTCCTTTGCCCAATGGAATCCTTTCTGACATCGGGGACAAACGGTTTTTGGAGGATTAATATTATTCCCTAATGTATTTCCAGGCTGTCGAGGAGCTTGCCATCTGGCCTGAGTATTATTATTTTTATTTGGGCATTCTCTGCTAAAGTGCCCAGATAAGCCACAAGAGTAGCAGTTCATATTTCTTTTATTACCTGTATTATTGCTGGCTTGTCCTATACCCTGTACATATTGAGGGTATGTCTCCCCTTTGAGAGCTGCAGCTATAGCTACACCCTGTATAAATGCTGGACTTACATCAGCACACTGTTTTATAAAATCATTTATAGTTCCTGTTCTTTGAATCGGCCTTAATAAAGCCTGACAGGTATTATTAGCATTTTCAAAAGCCAGTTGTTTGATTAGGATATCGGCTGCCTCTTTGTTATTGTTTACTCTCTTGACTGCCTGCATGAGGCGAGAAAGGAAATCCTGATATGGTTCCTCGACCTTCTGTTTAACCTCTGTAAGGGTGGTGGTTTTTCCTGCTGTATAAGGTAGGGATTTCCAGGCACTTACTGCACAACTGGTTACTTTGGTAAGTGCCTCTGTGGGCATATTCATTTGCTCCTCAGCCGTGTTAAAGTCACCTTCTCCTAATATCATGTCTAGGGTTATTCTTTTTCTGGTTTTTTCGCTAGTGGCTACAGCTTTCCTAGCAAGATCTTCATATTCAGTTTTCCATAATAAGTAATCGCCTCCTGAGAGACAGGCTTTACAAACCTGTGACCAATCATAAGGAGTCATCCATTTACTGGCTAGGGTTTCTACCAAGGTTTGTGTGTAAGGAGCTAGAGGTCCATATTCAGAGCAGGCCAATTTTAATTCTTTAAGTACTTTGTAAGGTATAGGCTCCAAGGTGGGGTTTCTATTCCCACCAGACTCATTCTCATATATAACTGGGAAGCAGAGTGAGAATTCAAGATCTCCATTAGCTTCAGCTTCTCTTATTGCCCTTTGAAATTTAGACATGGAGCTCATAGGAGCCACAGGACCTGGTTTAGGCTTCCTTTCTAATTTGGGGAGCCTGTTTTGAATGGGAGGGCCATTCTCCTCTCTACTGACTGGAAAGGAACAATGGTCATGTTTATGATATTTATTCTCCTCCCGATCAGTAGGCATAGCTAAATTGCTTTTAGATTGAGCTGAAGACAATGATGATGTGTCCTCTCTGGGTGGAGCCGAGGGACTATTTAAATTTTGAGAAAGTTCAACCGTTTTTGCCTCTGGTGCCAAGGTGTCACAGATTGATTCCCAGAGGGAAAAGAAACATGGCAGGACCTTGTCAGATTCATGGTGTTTCTTTAATTGCTTTCCTACTTCAACCCAAGTTTTTAAATTAACAGTTCCATCCTCTGGAAGCCATTGACATACTTCTTCTATAAAACTTTCTGTCTCACTGGGAAAAACCTCAACTCCAATTCTGTTAGTAAGCATATGCGTTAAAAGATTAATACAGAGTCTTTTTTCTTTAGACTCAGTATGACCCATCTTGTCAATCTAAGTTCTGTACTAACTACCCGCTTACCCTACTTATTCTCTATGGGGGGGGGGGGGGTCTGCAGCACCCTACGGTGCAGTCCTATCCGTCCCAAGTACGGGGGGACTTACCTAAGGGAACCCTGTTCGGGCGCCAGATGCCGGGGTCCAACCCCAGCAGGTCCAGGGGTTCCCAAAGGCGTAGACGGAGTCGGCGAAGAAGGAAGGACACGGAGACAGTGTTCAGTTGATCAGCAGCCTAGCCAGCATCTCCAGCCGGGATCTCCAGCCAAGTTCTGGTCTGGATCTCCAGCGAAGTTCTGCTCTTTATTGTCTTGTTACATCCGTATTTATCCCAGTTGATTTTAATCCTGTCAATTTCTATTACAAAGGTTAGGGCGTTTCTTATCTCCATTCCAGGGAGTAAAGATTATGTAGCTTAAGCATGATTGTTTGTAGTGATTAACTACCCGCCTGGCACTTAGTTAAGGAGTTTCATCCCCTCCCTGACTTCAGGGAAAAATTCCTACCTGGGGAAACAACCTTTCTAGGAGAGGCATCCCCTCCCTGACTTCAGGGAAAAATTCCTACCTGGGGAAACAACCTTTCTTGGAGAGGTGACCTTGGTTAAAACACACAGCGCTAAGGGGAGCAAACATATTAAGAACAGTATGCTATATACGCCAGGTCCCTTGAAACATATGCTGTGCAGATGTTTCTTTCCTGCAGTGACTGTGTCAAGCAGCAAGGATGGACCGGCTTCCGGCATACATTTTTGGGTGCAACTGTTAAAAGCAGGTATTGATGCCCCCAATTTTTTAAAAATAGTGACAATAGCTTTAAAGCATCAATCACATGAGATGAAGAACCATCTAGAGCAGTGATTTTCAACCTTTTTCATCTCATGGGACACATTAAATTAATTACTAAAATTATGCAGCACACCAAAATATACTTTTTGCTGATCTGACAAAAATAAAAAAAGTAAGTATAGTTTTAATTTATTCATAGTGGATGGCTATTGATATATTGGCTGTTGTATTTTTCTTTTTTTACAATCTAATGGAAAAGAGGTCAATGCCTCTGACTAGTCAGGTAATGCATGTTTTAAAAATTCTTGCAGCACACCATTGAAAAAATTCACTGACCTAAAGGATGATTCTTACGTATAAGAAGACTAACAGGAGACAGTAGTTAAGGTCAAATACACATGCCAGCCAAGGAGTGTGAACTTTGATTCTTTTAGCCAATGAAGAGCCTTAAGCAGAGCAGTGACAATTACTTTGGTGGCAGTGTGGAGAACAAATTAAGGGAACAAGACTGAGAGCAGGTTGATCAGGAAATGCAGTGTCTGAAATACAGCACGGGGTGTTGGCATGAAGAGAAAGGCACAGATTCCGTAAATGTTAAGGAGGTAAAACTTGTTTGGGTGGACAAGATGAAAGGGTTTTATCCCCTTTGCTCAGCAAACCTGGCTTATTGCAGGTGCATTTTCCTGTTACTACCTTGGCAAAAGGTTCTAGTAATGTCCTGGTAAAGAGGTTACCCCTCGTGATTAATACAGACCTGTGGTTATACTGACTGTGCTAGTGAAAGAATTTCACCTGTATCGTAGCAGTGACTCTGCACTGCCGCTCAGAACGGAAAGCGGGCCTGGTGCAAAGCCATAGTCAGACGTGTCAGTTACCTGCAAATACTCAGGCCTAAGTGGGCACAATGGATTTACTGTTTGGATATTGTGAAAATCCCAAGGATTTTTTTTTTCTAAAGGGAAAAAGAAATAAAATTGTGGTACTTTAAAAGATAATTCCACAATATATTTAAAAGGTCAGCTGTAAGTCTGTATAATGATATTACATTGTAGAGGCAGTTAATCAGTGACTACATTTCCCATAGTCCTTAAGGCAACGTCGCCTGCATTACCCAGAGGGCTGTGCGATGTTCGTGAGAACCGTGAGCGTCCGTGGAAACAAAAAAGGTAAACCGAAGGGGTTGCTCTTTCACGTTGCTTTGCAACCACATTTCCCATTCTCCTTCCCTACTTCATCCCTCTCCTCTGTCTCCGCTTCTCTGTTCAAGGGCTTCAGAAGCCCAATTACTCGGGGATTTGTCTTTGTGGCAACTCCAAGTTACGTTTTTTTGTGCCGCACGGCCGGAAGTGTGTTGTGCCCGGAGTCTCCTGGGAAATGTAGTCCGGAGCCCCCGCCCAGCCGAGTGTTTCTGCCTCCTCTGGCCCCAGAACCAGGGGCTGGGTGTCGGAGGCGCCTTGGTGGGGGAAGTTAGGGAGGGTGGTGGGGTGCTGTCTGCGCACGGTCACCTGCTGGCCCAGGACACAGAAAGGTCGTAGAGCCTCGAGCCCGTGGCTAACGGCCCTCCGCAGGGGACTCGGAGGACAGCAGTTGGGCGGGGGCGGGCCCGCGCCCCGGAGGCCCGAGCCGCTACCCTTACCGCTCGCCCTGCGGGTGGTGAGGATTTTCCCGCGTTTGGGGCAAGCTCCTCTGGCGTTACCTGGGCTTCCGAGCACCGAGGCAGGTGGACGGCCTCCTGGAGAGGCGGGGTGTCGTTCGTGCGCCGGCCCCGCTCGGATGGGTCGCGGCGAGAGTTCCCGGGGAATGCGCTCGGCTGGCGTAGATCCGCCGAATCACAGTGATGAGAGGGGTCCTGGTGAGTCCCGGAGGAGCCTTTGGTAGAGAACATCCAGCCCAACCCACTGCTGTGACAGGGAGGTACCAGCCCAGAGAGAACCGGGGAACGGCCCCGACGGAGGAATCCGGCCCAGGGCTGTCCGCAGAGCACAGTGCGGATCACAGAACAGGCGCTCAAGCGTTTAAGCGTCTTTTCGTTCTAAGAACAAACAGCTGAAATACGTCAAGACAAAAATAATTTAAGAGAAGTGGACCTGTAGACTAAGAGACTTATCAACCAAATGCAATGTGTAGACCTTATTTGGATCATGATGCTAACAACCATAAAATTGTGAATTTTTTAAAAATCAGAAAAATGTGCCTTAGCGGATTTGGCTCAGTGGATAGAGCGTCGGCTTGCGGACTGAAGTGTCCCGGGTTCGATTCCGGTCAAGGGCACATGTCAGGGTTGCGGGCTCCATCCCCAGTGAGGGGCGTGCAGGAGGCAGCCGATCAATGAGTCTCTCATCACTGACGTTTCTCTCTCTCTCTTCCTCTCTGAAATTAATAAAAATATTTTTTAAAAATCAGAAAAATGTGAACATTGATGATATTAAGGATTTGTTTTAAAATTTTAGTTGGGATATGCCGGGGTTCTTGACCCGGCATCTAGAAGGGTTCAGCAATCTGGAGAAGGCTGTGCGTAGATTAAATAGGAGTCCAGAGAAGAAATATAATTTTGAGAGGCATTTGAGGGTCAGAGGAGCCTAGTTTAAAGGCAACTAAGATCTAAGATCTCCTCGTCTCAGGACCCCATGCTTTTTATTAACACAAATTGTCCTGAGGCCAGGCAGAGATACACACTTCAAAGGGTCAGGGTTTCATATACAGAGGCATTGTCAGAATGGAAGAATTAGCCTACAGCTGTTCTGGTGTTTGGCCAGTAGGAGGAAATACCATGTAGATTAAGATGCCCTGAGCTGTCTGGCAGCCAACAATCAATTTAATGTATCCTATTCAGGTTTGGGGAAATGCCTTCAGCCATTCCCAGATTCAGCCCTGCTGTCATGCTGGAATTGGCTTCCGGCAGGGATAATGCTATTGGGGTTGCGCTTTAAAAAGGAAAATAGTTTTAGGAACATAAACTGCAAACTATATGGGTGAAGTGATGTCTGAGATTTGCTTGAAAAATACATGGGGGGGGGGGGGGGGGCGGAGCAGATGGAAGCAGATTAGCCAGGTGTCAGTAATTATTGGAGGTGGAAATAGATACAAGATCACTAAACTGTTCTCTCTACTATCATACATTTTTTTAAAAAAAGTTCAAGGGTAGCCCTGGCTGGTTTGACTTAGTGGATAGAGTGTCAGTCCTCTGAAGAGTCCCAGGTCTATTCTGGTCAAGGGCACTACCTCCGTTGCAGGCTTGATCCCTGGCCCTTGGTCAGGGCACGTGCAGAAGGCAACCAATAGAAGTTTCTCTCTGTGTGTGTCTCCCTCTCCCTTCCACTCTTTCTAAAAAAAATCAATGGAAAAAGATCCTTAGGTGAGCATTAACCAAAAAAAATTTTTCAAGTGTAATTTTCTTAACTCCTAGAGCTACATACTGAGTTATCAGAAAAAAGATATACTGTGTATACTGTGTGCGATTTGCTTTCAAGTACTACACACACATAGGAAGTGTGATGGGGCGTGGAAGAAACAAGAATGGCAGAAAATAGGGCACCTTGAGCTATGGAAGCTGCGTGATGGATATGTGAGAGTTCATTGTATTATTGTATTCTCTTTAATAGGACTGAAATTTTCTTTAATCAGGTTTTTAATTTTTTTAATGGATTTTATGGTTTTCAGAAAGTGCCTACATATAAAGAAGCTCATGAGAAGTTTACCTGAAACTTAATCTTCCCCTGCACAAGTGAGCCTCCTTGGGGACTTCTCCAGTTAAAAATGATCAAGCATGAAGTGGGAGAGGGAGCTGTGTCCTTGGTCACCCAGACTCCTCAAAAATAGGACAGAATTCTGACGGTGAAGGTAGAGGCAGAGGACGACTTGAGGGGGTAAGGAAGAGACCTTGCTACAAGGAATCTTCCAGCCCGAGCTGGCCTGTCCACACTTCAGACAGTCCTAAGACTAGGAGGTTTGGGATCCATGAGGTTCTGCCATGTCCCCAGGAACTCTGCTGCCAGTGGCTGAGGCCTGAGATGCCCTCGAAGGAACTGAACCTGAAGCTGCTGCTGCTGGAGAAGTTCCTGGCCATTCTGCCCTGAGAGCTGCAGTGGTGGGCCTGGGAAAGCACCTGGGCCTTGGAGAGAGAGAACTTAATGAGCCAGGCCAGCAGTTAGGAGAAGAGAGAACAGGTGTCAGAATAGGGAGGGGTCTGTCCTCCTCCAAAGAAAGACCAAATCTATGTTGACCCAGCTCTGTGTGTCTCTATTCATCCTAGCTCTTGCCTTTTTACCTGTGGGACATAAATCAGGTCTTGGATGACCTCCTAGAGCAGTGGTTCTCAACCTTCTGGCCCTTTAAATACAGTTCCTCATGTTGTGACCCAACCATAAAATTATTTTCGTTGCTACTTCATAACTGTAATGTTGCTACTGTTATGAATCATAATGTAAATATCTGATATGCAGGATGGTCTTAGGCGACCCCTGTGAAAGGGTCGTTCGACCGCCAAAGGGGTCGCGACCCACAGGTTGAGAACCACTGTCCTAGAGATTTGGGAGGGGGGGGTGTTTTTTTCCTGTGACATTCTGATTCTCATTCTTACCTGGGTATGTTTCATTTAAAACATTATTGAAACCACTCAATTTTTAATCATTCTCTACAGAAACTAAAATACATGTTCTTCCACAAAACAGAGTCACATTGCTGGCTGCACTTTCCATGCCTGGGGCTTCTTACCCACCCTCTTCTTAAAACTGAAAAGTAAGGGCTCTGACTCCGTGCCCCTTCTGTTTACCCTCTTACTGAAAGACTAACCACGGGACCCTGAGGGGTGTGATCTTTCCACATTGTGTTCTTAGCAAACTTGTTACCTCTGGAGACACAAACCCAAAGTGTGAAAAAACTCCCAGTCTCAGCAGACATCTTGGCCTTATCCTCATAAAGGGCCTGAGCTAGAACCACCCAGCTCAGCTGCTCCCCGATTTCCCACCCTCAGGGACAGAAAATTCATGTTAGTTGTTTTAAGTTGCTAAATTTTAGAGTAATTTGTTACTCAGAAAAGAAAACTAATTACAAGTGTACTGACAAAGGATTTGGGTACCGTTTCCAGGTTTCAGAAGTCACCTGGGAGAGGTAGGTTAGATTTTGGGGTGTTCTGATATCTGTTGAGAACAACTAGACAGAATATTTGAAACTAGGACATTTAAGGGAAAATTCAGGAAATATCATATCAATAGATCCAAATTATATTTACTTTAATATAAATCAAACTTATTTAATTTTCAAAATAACTATTTTTACCAAAATGAATCAAAATTTAATTTGAAATAATCAACCTGTACACCTTAAATATATATAACTTTTAATTCCATATCTCAATAAAACTGGGGGGAAAATTTAAATAAAATTAATTTAAAAAAATTTACAGTATCTTGGGAAATAGGATTATAAAGGACTTTCTCTTTAAACATTTCTTGTTAAATATGTAACAATTATTTTTTGCAATGAACGCATGTTGCTTTGTAACCAGGAAATAATTTTTGAAGAAATACACTAGGGCCGTGGTCGGCAAACTGCAACTCGCGAGCCACATGCGGCTCTTTGGCCCCTTGCGTGTGGCTCTTCCTAAGCCTTAGGAGTACCCTAATTAAGTTAATAACAATGTACCTACCTGTGTAGTTTAAGTTTAAAAAATTTGGCTCTCAAAAGAAATTTCAATCGTTGTACTGTTGATATTTGGCTCTGTTGACGAATGAGTTTGCCGACCACTGCACTAGGGGAAATGTCTAACAAGAGCAAGTAATTCTCTGTTTCTTTCAGAGCGCCCAATTTTCTTAATTGGCTCCAGGACAGGACGTTTTCGGGAGAAGATAGCACCTCCACCATCTGCACAAGAGTCCCCTCCCATCACCAGCTTCGGCCAATTGAGTCTTGGGAGCACCAGTCCCTCCAAGCCAGCGGTGAGAGGCAGCACCCCCGGGAGAAGAGAGCAAGGTGTTCGTTTCTTTTTCCTGGGCCCGCCTGTGTTGGAAAGCAGGACAGAGCATCACAGCTTCAGGTCTCTGCTGAGAGCTGAGTGTGATCACCAAACTAGTGTGAGGCCTTCAGTCCAGAACTCAGAGCTCCTGAGGTCGTTGGAGGTCAGCAAAGGGAACGAAAGCCTCGTCTCAGTCATTCACAGGTGCCCCAGCCACAGCTGTGTCCTTCATTTCGGAGGAGTTTACAGCAGTGGGCTGTTTTGAATTCTGGTGTGATTGCTTTTTAGCCAAATCACACTCAATGGTGTAGCTCACGGAGAGCTTTATTTACAATAACTTTATCTTTTCTTCTTCCCTACATGAGGCCTGTATTCAATTTGAAGGGAACCTAGGAGATCAAGCCACCCAGTGGGGTGTATGGAGGGGGCTCTGCTTCAGGGAAAGGCCAGGGGGTCGGGAATCAGGAGAATAGACCCGATGAGGCATCCACCTGACCCCGGGGCAGTGCTGGGCAAACTCATTAGTCAACAGAGCCAAATATCAACAGCACAACGATTGAAATTTCTTTTGAGAGCCAAGTTTTTTAAACTTAAACTGTATAGGTAGGTACATTGTTATTAACTTAATTAAGGTACTCCTAAGCTGGCGTTTGGCATGGGCCACGAAGTTTCAATCGCACTGTACCTCGCGCCCGCACGTGGTATTTTGTGGAAGAGCCACACTCAAGGGGCCAAAGAGCCGCGTGTGGCTTGCGAGCCGAGGTTTGCCGACCACGGCCCCAGGGGAGCAGGCAGGGTGGAGGGGTGGGCACACTCCTGTGTCTCCTTCCGAGAGGAGTGGGTAGGTCACTGTTTCTTTGCTGTAAGTTCTCAGAACGTAGCACTCCTTTGTAACGGGACAATACACACTCATTGCAAAGCCAAGAAACACCACTAGGAGGCTGCTGCTGTAGATGAGCAGTGTCCACTGATCTCTGCATGAGCACAAGGAACCAAGAGTTGACTTCACAAATTTGTAGGTGCCCGTGGATTCCTACATCAGGGAGAACATCAGTCTCTTCTTGTTCTGTGTCCTTATTTCAGCTCCCCCCACTGAAATAAGCGACATGTTCAACAGCTTCTACAGTCTCTTGTCTCCTGTCTCTGTTGGGATCTCTGGGACACAAAACTAGGGGAGGCCAGAGGCAGGGATGACACTTATCTGGTTCCCACCAGAATGGATGGATGAGTTGTTAAAATATTGAAATGCTTCTAGACTAATTGTTAATCAGGTTTCTGCTGTGTCCCCTAAGACCCACCTTGGCCACTCTAGTTACTCCCCTCCTGCTCCCTGCTCCCCTCCCCCAACCCTCAGGACCTCTCTAAGGTCCAGCATCTAATGCTTATCACCGGGTCCTATAAGAGGACTCCAGGCCCCTGCCTCTGGATCTGCAGATGAGACCAGCATCTGTTCTAATCAGTCAGTGTTCGATCACTACCAGTAGTTAATTGTAGTATCCCCCTTGGTCTTTATTCACCTTCACTGCCCATGCTCATGAAGGAAAGCTGAGTATCGTAGCCCAGCAAAATGAACACTGGAACCAACTGGATTCAGGTCCTGGCTCCACTGTATACTATGTGATCTTGGGCAAGTCCTTTCACCTCTCTGAACCTCTGTTTCCTCATCTGCAGGCATCAAATAAAATAATAGAGGAGAAAGTTAATGAGAAATGTAAACTACAAAGTGCTTACATATAAAATTATTTTTAAATTATTGTTTAAGATGTGTATGAGTTCTTTGTCCAACACAGGACCATACCTTCAAATCCTGCTTTCTTCCCTCTGCCCGGGCCCCTTCCTTTTTACCTGTTCTGCAGTTACCTCAAGCCTCCATCCTCTGCCACCCTCCAAGGGGTACCCCAGGACTTCACTCTTTGGAGGTCACTAGCCTTGGCCCCTGGAGCCATGTTTTTGGCTCCCTTCCTTAGCAACACCCCCTTCCTGTGTGGCCAGGAGAGTTCAACTTACTCTTCCCTGCTTCTCAGATTTCCCCTCCTGTCACCCCACTACCATTTTGGTCCCCTGCTTTTTCCTCATCCACTCCCCAAGTTTGTAAAATATTAATTTGAGACATTTTCTTATAAAAGTAATACATGTTCATTATAGGAAATACAAATACGGCTAAAAAGAAAATGAAAGTAGCCCAGCCGGTGTGGCTCAGTGAACCGGGAGGTCATGGTTCAATTCCTGGTCAGGGCATATGCCTGGCTTTTGGACTCAATCCCCAGGGCACGCAGGAGGCAGCCAGTCAATGATTCTCTCTCATCATTGATGTTTCTATTTCTCTCCCCCTCTCCCTTTCTCTTTGAAATCAATAAAAATGTTTTTTTTTTTAAAAGTAAATGAAAGCAACTTATAATCTTACTACATGTATAGTATTTATAACCTTTTTTAAAAATGTAGGATCATTTATTATTTTACAACCTCATTTTTATTGCTATATCACATGCCATTATTTATGTAATCGATCCCCTATGATAGGCATGGATTTTATTTCAATAGCTTTTTACTTTGCACTATGTATAATTTCAGTTGTGACCTAAGGACTGAGGACAAGGAGTTCACTCAGATCAGGAACTTGCTGAAAGAAGACCCCACCGGTAGCTCATGCAGACTCAGTGAAACTTTGCAGGCACCAGTGCTGGAATACCGCTCAGAATGTTCCAGTACCTTAGACCAGCATCAGGGAACCTTCCAGAGGGGAAGTCAAGCAGCTTGCCCACCCATGAGAAGAGTTTGAAGAGTTTCAAGCAGGAGAAACAAAATCTGTGAAGGTGCCGAGAGTGATCGAACCTGCAGGCCAGGTGAGCCCCTTGTTCAAAATCAGAAAAGTTGTCCAGGCAAAGACCCCGTAGATGCAGCACATGTGGCAGACCCGGCCCTGGTTCAGCATCTGAGCCGCACAGGATAGAACCCTCAAGAGTAGCATGGACTTCCAGATCTCCCAGAACCTGGCCGTCAGGCCCACCGGTGTGACCAGGTCAGGAAGGTGTTGCTTTTATGAGTAAAAGGTGAACATATGATAGAAAGGGACCACCAAGCCCATGGGCAGGAGAGGCTGGGGTGTGTGAGAGCTGAAGGGGAATGAAGGACATGGCTAGAGAGATTGGGTCAGGCATCCTTCAGGAAGTCTGGTCCCCCAAAACAGACCCTCTCTTTGTGGCTTTGTAACCAACCAGGTTTGTAACGTGATACATTTTCTCTCTCTCTCTCTCTCTCTTAACAAAACTAATCCATGTCCGTAACAGAAACTTTAAAAATATGGATGAAAAAAATGTAATCACCTATTCCAGAATCACTGGTAACATTGAGTGTCTTCCTAATATATATATATGTATATATTTCAGATTTCTTAAAAAAAAAAAAAAGAGGTGGGCACCCCCTGGTCCCACAGCTACATGCAGCCCCAACTTCTTTCTCACCTGGCTCTCACAGTGAGAGAAGCAAGGTTCCTGCAGGCGTGTTTGTGAACACAATAGCAATACCTCTTTAGGCCACAAGAGGGGGATGTTTGCTCATGCACATCTGTCCCAAAATTTCTGGGGAACCATGAAGTCTCCTTCAGCTCCCCTTGAGGCCACCTATAGTAATTCTGTTCACTGCATCTCTTGGAAACCCTGGTTCATGAGGAAAAAAAGACAGAACTCACATTCTCACTCTATAACCACATCTGCACCAATTTAACAGATCCTTGAACAGCTGTCTCACTGTTGCAGCCTTGGGCTTCTGAATGAGGGGATAAACTACAAACCTGATCAGGTCATCTCCCAAACCCAACATTTTTCACAGCCCTCATTGTTCTTAGGGTCCAGCCTCAGGGCCCTTGTTGGCTGGGTTGCTCTTCTCCTCCCTCCACCCCATATTCTGTGCTCCTCACAAACACAGCACTGGCCGTCTTCCAGCCCCTCTCACTCTGCTCCGTCACTAGCACACCTTCTAGCGTGTTTCTCTCTGGAAGGTGCTTCTCAGCACACACCAGGCTGGAACTTTTTCTTCCAGGTCTTACCTGACATCTTCCTCCCAGAAGTCACTCTCAGCCCTGTGAATCTGGCTTATGTGATTCTCCTCTGTGCGTAGCATGTGTGAGCATGTGGAATAGACTTCAGCTCTCCCAGTGCCTAACAGTCAGGCCCCCCTGTGTGACCAGGTCAGCAGGCTGTTACTGTGATGAAAAAAATGAGCACATGAGAGAAAGGCAGAAGGGCAGGGACTGCCAAGGCCATGGGCAGGAGAGGCTGCCCATAGCATAGCATGCGGGATGACGGCCTCTAGAATGGAAGTTCCATGAGGGCGGGGACCATGTCAGGCTAATTCACTCACATTCCCAGCACCAGAGCACAGTGCCTGGCACTCCGTAGGGCTCAACAAAGATTTAGTAAATGGATGGAGGAATGAATGAGTGTGCCTTTCCCAATTCCTTCAAGTAGAGTCTTCAAAAGCCAGCCCTCCCCAGCTCACCACGTGCCTCCTGTTGTCCCTGGAGTCTCTGGAAACATACCCGGGGAACAGTGGTGCTACAGGACCAGGTGTCTCCCTTGTGATTGTTGAGAAACAGTGGGGTTTGGAGTGAACAGATCCAGCTTCAAGGAAAGCTCTGCCCCTGCTGGCTGTGCCTGTGCCTTACCTTCCTTCCTTACAAAGGGAGGTAAAGGGTGCCAGGATTGCAGGATTGCGCTGAGAAATCCTGCTCTGGCCTGACATGTGGTAGACGTCAGATCAGAGTTCTTTCTCCTTCCCTCCCCAATGCTCTCTCCTAACCCCCTCCAACCTGAAACCTGGGGACACAGACACTCCGACAGTCTCAGGGGTGCTACTGTTCTCCTGATTCCCCTCTCTTTTCCCCGAAGTTGCCAAGCCATTTGCTGCGGAGACCTCCTTCCCTGTCCTTGTTCTTCAGCAGAGATAATAGTGCCAGGTAGAGATCAGAGCAGGTACCTAAATGGTACTTGCTGAATGAATGAATAACTGATTGGACCAGCCAGTCACAGCAGCATCCCCTGCGACATGCTTGCCAGTGGTCAAACATGTAAGGTAGTCACCGGCCTGTTGATGGGCAGGTGGTCTCCTGCCCTCCTGACACCACCAGTAAGAGATTACGCACATGTGAAGACACAGGCCAAGACTTTACTGAAGAAAGAAGAAAGAGAGGCATTGTAGCCCCAGGGAGAGGAAATGGCCAAGAGTTGCAGCGCCCAGATTCTTCTCATGCACAGATTAGTACCCCCGCATGTGGACCCCAAGGGTTATAGGTGCACGTCTGTGTCACTGAACCAGCTCTCTCCCTCAGGATGCCTGCTTTCCCTATAGCCAAAGTCTGTCTGTCAGGTCTGGTACTAAAAGTACAAGTTCTAGATTTGCCCTTTCATCGTGTTTTCTCTTATGAGGCCCCTCCCGCAGTCTTCTTTGGGCCCTGCGTGGTCTGTGTTTCATGAGCTCCATCATTCATAACCCCTCTCTGCAGTCAGAATCTTCCGGTGATGAATAAGGGCTGATTTCTCCTCAAATGATCACCGCCCCCAATTCATTACATTTGAAAGATTTAGCCCCAGAATGGCTCCTGTGCTGCTGGGTGAGGTTTGTGCTCTCTCGGTGCGCCACTCCACTCACTGAGGAGTTTTCTCCCGTCTGGGACGCGAAAGGTTGAGCTCTGACGTGGGTTCTGCTCCATCTGTCCTAGAGCCCGGCCCTGTGATTGTACCCTCCCCGACAGCTGCTTACTCCCTCTGAGGATTTTCCTGCACTGCTGCTATTCATAGGGTATCTCCAGTGTGAATGAGGAGATGAAGGGGAGTTTTCTCTATTCATAGTATTCGAAGATTTTCTCTGCCCCATGAGTTCTTTGGTATTCTGCCAGGATTCTGTCCCAATGTTTGGCCGCGTGCATTGTGCCGGCAGAGCCAGGTTTGGGCTGAGAGTCTGGTTTCCCAAGATGATGTCTTTATCAGCATCAAGTCCCCAGATCCTGGCCTCTGAAGAGAAGCAGTCCTCCCAGGATGACCCCACAGTTGTACTCTGGCCGGAAGGCTGAGGTTTGTGTTGACAGCACAGCCTTGACCCTGGCTTCACACTGTGATGACACCATAGGAAATGAGAGTGTCACAGGCCCCCACCCCCACCCCCGTTTCCGAGAAACTTCTGTGCAAGGAGACAGCAGCCTCTGGCTTTCTCCTCTTGTGATTACAGCAGGAGCAGGGGCCGCACAGGGAATGAAGAAGGGCCTATGTCCTGAGCACCTGGGGTCGTTGCTCACACCACACTGCCCCTGGAATGCAGCCCTTCCCCCTGAATTCTGCCCATCCTCCAAGCCTGCCCAAAGCCCACTTCTTCCCTGAAGCCTTCCAGGGACCCTGTAAAACCCACTTAGCACTCAACGTAACGTCCCAGTCCTTCATACCTTTATAATCAAAAGCCTTTTTCTTCTCGAACAGACTTCAAGCTCTTTGAAAGAAAAAGAACGCATCTCATCTTTATGTTCTTCCTGGCACCTCTGAGAGACATGGAGAGACTCAGGACGACTTGTGGACACTGCAAGTGAAGCTGATGGATCATGGTTCAGGGCGGTCATGGATGCAGGTGCGTTTACCTTTGACTGAAGTCGGAGCCGCCTTCTCTGGGATGACTGTTGGTTGGTCTCGTCCATGTCATACAGGAGGGAAGTGATCTCACTGGGATTACCACCTCCCCACCTGACACCGCCCCCCAGCCAGGAAGGCCAGCCTGCTTAACCCCGATATCCGTAAGTGGCAGATGCTTTGTCCCCATTGCCTCAGCTCTGCCTGAGAACTGTTGCTACCCACCATGCATTGTGCTAATCCTGGGAATGACCTTGTGGGGCGGGCAGGAAATAAGCAAGAAATCAGTATTGTAGAGCTGTCCATCAGAGTGTCCTGGGTAAGTATGGCTGGCTTAGGGACTACCTTCGGCATGAACTTGGAGCTCTTAAGGGCAAGGTCTGAAGCATCTCCATATTCACAGTGCCTAGCTTAGCACCTAGGAGGTATTCGTCTGGCATGGAGTACGTGAATTGTGTCTATAGTCAGCAGCAACCGAGAAGTTCGTGGAGGCAATGAGAACAGATGTTAATGGCTGTAGTGAATGTCCACCTGGGCCACTCGCATACCCAGTGAGCGCGCATCATCCCTTTGATGTATAGCAAAGTTCTGGGTCCCAAGCACAAAACACAGAAAGGGCTTCCTGCCTTTTGTTGTTGCAAAAATCTCTGCCTCCCCTGGGGAAAGAAAAAAGAGAGTTGGGGGGGAACATTCTGTGTATACATCTAAGGTCTTATAGAGCCTTAGAGCTCTCTTCTACTTTTCTTTGTTGTTGTTAATCCTCACCTGAGGATATTTTTTCTATGGCTTTTCAGGGAGAGTGGAAGGGAGGGAATGTGAGAGAGAGAGAAACATCAATGTGAGAGACACAATGACTAGTTGCCTCCCACGCGTGCCACAACTGGGGGCGGAGAGTGAACCCGCAACCCAGGTACATGCCCTTGACCGAGAATGGAACCCTCGACCTTTCAGTACGTTGGCCAACGCTGTAACCACTGAGAAACACCAGCAGGGTTCTTCTACCTTTCTTTAACAGCTAGTAAGTTAGAATGTTCTTGGTGGGATATCAGAGCTGCTTCCCAGTGCTGGCACTGCCTGTGAAAACTGCATTTCCTAGGGACCCAAGGCTGCTGCTAGGCGGTGGGGCGTGGAACCTGGTGAAGCTGTGAGCCCACCACTGAGCATTAAGAAGGGAACGAAAGGGAGTGTCCTCGCCAGCTGCCTCTGCATCTGCTGAGCAAGGCTTACACGTTCACGGGCAGGAGGACAGCTGGTCGCTGGGTTTTGTGCTCCGGTCTTGGAAGTTTTTAAATGGAATATCATTTGCAGGGAGTCTCCAGAACACCCTCTCAGATCACTCTTCTAATGACGATGCCAAGACCAAAGTGACTAAGAAATTATGGAAACAGGCATAGGAGATTAAATGGATAATGAAGTGAAGGCTGTTGAAGGAGGAAGGGACTGGAGGGTCAGGTGACTGTGAGCTCCGCACGCCTAGAGAATTGGCCAACCAGTTCCAAAGGCTTCTAGGAATTTGCTCAAGAAACCAGATCTACTCCCTACTCCCTACCACAGAGGACACCAGGAGACTTCCCTGTCCAGAACAGCCAGGGCAGCCTTTTCTGATGTTCAGTGACAAGCAGACTGTTCTTGCTGGGGCTCTGACCCCACTCACTGAGTGTATAGGCACAATTGCAGTGACTAACACCTTTAATGCCAGCTGTGCCAAGTGCTTCACATGCAGTATCTCATTTATTTATTTTTAAAAAGTTATTTATTGGTTTGGAGAGAGAGAGAAACAATGATTTGTTGTTTCACTTATTGATGCATTCATTGGTTGATTCTTATCTGTGCCCTCACCGGGAATCGAACCTGCAACCTTGATGTATGGGGATGATGCTCTAACCAACTGAGCTACCTGGTCAGGGCCTACAGTATCTCATTTAATCATCCTATGAAATAAGATGTTTCTATCCTCATGTTACAGATAAAGAACATAAGACTTAGAGAAGTTAAATAACTTGACTTTCATGCAACTAATACGTAGAAGAACAGGGATTCGAATCCCGGCCTGCCCATTACCTATGCTCTTGAAAGTTCTACTTTTCCCATTGCAGGATTTTAAATCCCATTTGCTGGAATAGCCAATCCACTTTCTACCTCTGTTTATGGCCATATTGAAATAATCCTGCTTCCGCAATCCCTTCTTCAGCGTGTCAAAGTACAAAATGGCTCATGAGAGAGAGAATCCAGTAGGTACTGACCACTTCCAATCCCTATTAAAGCCACATTCCCGAGAGATATCCAGTTTTCTCCAAGGAGTCACTGGAATTTCTGCTGTGGGAATTCGGGGAGATTCTTGAGTCATGGCAGATTCAAGAACCTGATTATGCTGTCAATCCTGTGAGGCAGGACAAAGCAGGAACAGTTTATTTCTGCTCCCGCATGACTGGGTCTCAACTGGAGTGACCAGATGGCTGCATTTGACCATGATGGTTGGACTGTGGCCACAGGTCAGGTACTGCCTGCCACTTTTCTCCATGTACCATCTACTGAAATGGAACTGAAATGTCCAAATGTGTTTCATGCCCTCTTTAGTCTTCTCCCCTGTGGTCTCTCTCTTGGTAGAGTACCCTAAACTTGTATTGTTGCTCCACTCCACTATACCTGTCCTACCTCACAACCCCTTTTGTGGGGAGCTGCCTCATTCAGCCCTCACCGCCAGGTGGTTGTGTTGTATCACATGACCCTGCCTCTTTCCCCTCCCCGCACATACATACAAGGTCACTGGACCAGGATCCATGATAAACTGGCCAAGGACTTTTGAAGTCACCTGGCTCAAAAATATAAAGAAACCTAGTTAGACCAGTCAGACTCTCCTTTTGGGAAATTTGAACCAAAAAAAAATAAGACAGTATAGGCAGTGTGTGACAAGATGTTGAGGGCAAGTAGGGCCTGGGTGTAGCAATGTGCTAGCCCAGTGGTCGGCAAACTGTGGCTCAGCAAACTGCGGCTCGTGAGCCACATGCGGCTCTTTGGCCCCTTGAGTGTGGCTCTTCCACAAAATACCGGCTCTTCCACAAAATACCGACTTCTGCGCATGGGCCACAAAGTTTCAGTCGCACTGTACGTGCGCGCCCGCGTGTGGTATTTTGTGGAAGAGCCACACTCAAGGGGCCAAAGAGCTGCATGTGGCTCGCGAGCCGCAGTTTGCCAACCACAGTGCTAGCCAGAACTAAATTGAAGAAAAATCTTAGAGATTGAAGGGGGAAAAAAGGCTATGACACAGTGAAAATGCACGGATTTCCGGAAGGAACAATGAGCCTGCCTTGGGCAAGAGGATAAAGGAATGAGCAGAGCGGAGCTGGGCCTCTGTAAAAGGAGGAAGGAGCCAGCCGCAGAGGCACCCTGGCCCTCCATGGCTCACCAGGCCCATGGGTGTCATTGCAGCAGCTGGTTACTTATTTCTTTCGCTGTCCATTGGTTTAGAAATGGGCATATGACTTAGTTCTGCCTAAACATATTAGGAAATGGCTGGGGGACGTTCTGGGAAGAGTTTTGCTTTTTGATTCAAAGAGAAATAGCGAAGGGGCCTGTCCCTTCTTTCTGCTTTGAATATAGATGTTTGACACTTAGAGCTACAGCAGCCATCTTGAGACCATGAGGCAACAAGGACAAGGAAGAAAGCCAACCCACCGAGGTTGGCCTAGCAGACAGACAAAAAGAACCTGGGTCCTTGCTGATATTGTTGAACCACTATACCTATCCTGGAACCACCTAATTCCAGTCTTATTGATATATTAGTTAAATGTCTATTTTCTAAGCAGATTTCTGCTATTTGAAGCCTTAGGCATTTTTGACCAATATAGCACTCCCCTGAACCTCTCCATCTTCAAATCCTTAGCGCCTAAGTCTCTTGATATAGCGCCAAATGGAAAATTAACCCAAGCTTAGACATTGGAAATCTTACGTATATGGCAGGAAATAAAGTCAAGATTTCTCACAGCCTACAGAGCAATTTCAGCACTTAGTCCCAATTCTCGGGGCCTACAGAACACAGACAAGGGGAAAAAAACATAGATTCAGGAAAGTTCTAGATGCATAAGCAGGCATCTTCTAAAATGGGGCTCAATGTTGAATTTTAGGAAGACCAAGTTCAGCGGGAAGAGGGTGGGTGTGGGGATGGTGTTAATGCCTGGGATGCAGAGCCTAAGCATGGGCCAGAGAGCCATGGAAAGCACACAGAAGGAGCAGTAAGCTGATGTGGGCAAATGGTGGGTGGATTGGATGACTTCTGGAGAAGGAGGCTAGTGTCCACAGCAGGATTTTATGAACTCCAAGTAGTTTACAACAGCTGGAACTCGTGGAAAACTAGGCCTTTTAGTTCCTCTCCAGCCACCCTTAATGACATTTTAGATCCTCTTAGGAATAAGGTGCCCTGAATGGTAACCATCCTGTGTATGGGTACTCCCCACATTCTTTATTCTTTGTTGTTTTCTCCTCCTCTTCCTCCTCCTCCCTCCTCCTCCTCCTCCTCCTCCTCCTCCTCCTCCTCTTTCTCCTCCTTCTCCTCCTCCTCCTCCTCCTTCTCCTCCTTCTCCTCCTCCTCCTCCTCCTCCTCCTCCTCCTCCTCCTCCTTCTCCTCCTCCTCCTCCTCCTTCTCCTCCTTCTCCTCCTCCTCCTCCTCCTCCTCCTCCTCCTCCTCCTCCTCCTTCTTCTTCTTCTTCTTCTTTCTCTCTCTCTCTCTCTCTCTCTCTCTCTCTCTCTCTCTCTCTCTCTCTCTCTCTCTCTCTCTTCTAAGCAAAGCCAGAAGACAGAAATGCACAAGGCCTGCCCTAGCTGGTTTGGCTCAATAGATAGAGCGTCGGCCTGTGGACTGAAGGGTCCCAGGTTCAATTCTGGCCAAGGGCACATTGACTGGGTTGCAGGCTCGATCCCCAGTAGGGGGCGTGCAGGAGGCAGCCAATCAATGATTCTCTCTCATCATTGATGTTCCTATCTCCCTCTCCCTTCCTGTCTAAAATCAATAAAATATATTTAAAAAAAAAAAAAAAAGAGCCTTTCCGATCCGCCATCTGCGGTGGAGTCGCCGCCAAGATGCAGATTTCCGTGAAAACCCTCACGGGGAAGACCATCACTCTCGAGGTTGAACCCTCGGATACGATAGAAAATGTCAAGGCCAAGATCCAGGATAAGGAAGGAATTCCTCCTGATCAGCAAAGACTGATCTTTGCTGGCAAGCAACTGGAAGACGGGCGCACTTTGTCTGACTACAACATTCAAAAGGAGTCCACGCTTCATCTTGTGTTGAGACTTCGTGGTGGTGCCAAGAAAAGGAAGAAGAAGTCGTACACCACTCCCAAGAAGAACAAGCATAAGAGAAAGAAGGTCAAGCTGGCTGTCCTGAAGTACTACAAAGTGGATGAGAATGGCAAAATCAGTCGCCTTCGTCGGGAGTGCCCTTCAGATGAATGTGGTGCTGGAGTTTTTATGGCCAGCCACTTTGACAGACATTATTGTGGCAAATGTTGTCTGACCTGTTGCTTCAACAAACCAGAAGACAAGTAATTGTATTTGGGTTAATAAAAGACATGAACTAACAAAAAAAAAAAAAAAAGAAAGAAATGCACAAGGCCTGAATATCTTCTACCTCAGTGGGAGAGTGAATATAGTGGGAGGCAAGGATGTCTTTTGGAAAATTTAAAATCCTAGTCTGAGATAAGGAGTTAGGGTGGAAGGAGAGAAAGCAGTCAGTTGATAAGACATTAAAATCAAAATCCTATGAGATAATCAGAGAATGGAATGAAAGCTTTGGTTGGGGTGGAGGAAACAAAAAGTTTAAATCTGTACTTACTGCAATTAATGCTTTCATGTGATACTTAGTAAACCCTGAATTTCCCCCAAGTTTCCCCATATATCACTAAAGTTTCTCTGAAAATCAATAAAGGAAAGAACTAAAGGCTTTTCCCCATTCTCCATAATCAAGCTTTTTCTCCAGAATGAATTAGCCTGATTACTGACTGAACACCCTCCCACAGTCTTCATGAGTGTGTGTTTCCTGTGAATTCTCCAAAGATGAGAAAGGGCAATGTTGTCCCCAAATGATTTTCCACATTGATTACGCTCACAGGCTTCTCGCTAGGACGAGTGACCTGATGTTCAATGCATTCCACGCCTGCCCTAGATAGCATTCCGTATTCATCACATACAACTGCTTTAAGTCCAAAGTGAATTAGCTGACATTGTCTAAGGATGGAACTCTGATTGAAGGTTCTTCCTTATCCATTATGCTCCCAGGGCTCCTTCCTGCCATGAAATCCCAGATGTCTTATTAGCCCTGAGCACTGTCTGAAAGTATTTTACTTCCATTATGTGCTTACGGTTTTTCTCCAATGTGAATTCTCTGACATTCAACGAGCTTTACTTTCATGAAAGGGTTCACACTTATTGCGTTTGAGGAGTGTCTGTTACATGTGAATTAGCTGATGTCATGTGGTGCTGTTGCTAACAGATGCCTCCCACAAGCAGGGATCCTCTCCAAGATGAATATTAGGATGTTCAGTAGGATGGGAGCCCCAAGGGAAGTTTCCTGTATTCATAACAAAAATGTTCTCTCAAATATGACTACCATAATAAAATAAATTTTGAATTCTTTTCTAAGATTTGGTCACACTTATCATTTTTGGGTTTTCTCACTTCTAAAAAGTGTAGGAAGAATTGCAAAGTTTTCAACTATTCATGACATTCATGGGTGAGGTCCCTAATGGTTCTCTAGGATGTCTCCATATTCACAGACCTCTACAAACTC